CACCACCGCCGCCGCCACCACTCCCACCGCCGCCACCACTGCCGCCGCCACCACTCCCACTGCCGCCACCACCGCCACCACCAAAGCCTCCACTCCCACCACCACTCCCTCCGCCACCACCGCCACCTCCACCGCCTCCACCGCCCCCACCACCGCCTCCACCGCTGCCACCCCCACCACCCCTGCCTCCCTTGCCCCTGCCGCTGCGGCGCCTCCCACTAGGAGCAGACGCAGCCCCGACCTCCTCAGTACGAAGGAAGTCAACAGCAGCAGCAGAAGCGACAGAGGGGACAAGGGGGGAGGGCGAACACCCCTCAAAGAAGGGAGTGCGAGGAGTGCCACGAGAAGCACCTACAGCCACTATGCTGGTCTCAGCTGCAAGGAGGTGCTTCTCGAGCAGGTCGACAGTGAGGTCTGTGGGGTCAAGGGCGAGAAGGAGGTCCCTGACTGCGCTAAGAGAGCCAGGGAGGCGGGTGACGATGAAATAGAGAGTGATGTACATGGGGGGGGGGGGGTTCTTGTCGAGAAACTTGGTGGGAAGCGCGGCGCGGTAGCGAGTGTCACTAGTGCGAAGGTGAGTGATGAGGTCGGCGACTGTGGCAAAGGTAGACAGCTCGAGAAAGAGGTAGGGCAGTATGAGGCGGCCTAGAGCAGCAGTGGCCGGGGAGGAGTAACGAGCGACTACAGCATCGTACAGGGCTCTAGCAGTCTTGTGCTGGCCAAAGTGAGGGCGTTCAGCTAACGGCAGGTGGTTGCGAACGGCTAGGCGAGCAGCAGCGTCACGGGTAAGCCACTGTGAGCGAGTCGCACTATCAGCTGTGTCGGGAGGGGCGAGAGAGGCTCCAGACGTGAGGTCAAACAACGAAACGCCGTCTCTAGAATCGCTCAGTAGGTACAGCTGCAGGTCATCGAGCCACGCATCGAACTCGATCGGGCGGCCCTCAGGATCGAACGTGAGGACGCTGAGAGTAGCTATAGCGGGCAGAGCAGGGTGGCGCGCGCGCAGCAGGGCAGCACGCAAGCAAGGACGGCGCGACGGGCAGGGCGGCGCACGGCTAGGGCAGGGCGGCGCAACTGGCAGGGCAGGGCGGCGGCCAGCAGGGCGGCGCGCAGGCAGGGCAGGGCAGGGCGGCGGCCAGCAGGGCGGCGCGCGGGCAGGGCAGGGCGGCGCGGCGGCGAGCGGCGCGCGGGCAGGGCAGGGCGGCGCGGCGACGAGCGGCGCACTGGCAGCAGGGTGGCGCGCGGGCTGCAAAGGGCGACGCGCGGGCCGCAAAGGGCGGCGCGCGACCAGCAGGGCGGCGCGACGGGCAGGGCAAGGCGTGCGCGAGCGGCGCGACGCAGGGCCGGGCGTGGGGGAGCGCGGTAACCGCAGTCGGTCACTAGCTAATGGTGGGCCCGGAAAATAAAACGGTCCTAAGGACCTACTGCTCTGAAACCATGTCAGGAACTAACGAACAGGAATGATTGCATTGAGAAAGAAAGTGATACAAGTACTAACCCTAATTTGGGTTGTACCCCATATGGGCTACCCCACTACAGCCTACACAATAATATAACAGTTTGACACAACGACAACTACAATACCTGGTACCTAGAGAGCTGTTGCGGCCAGCACATGGTGGGATCTCGACGTTACATCTCAAACGCCGTCCCCACTCCCACGGTCACCTATGTCACCGTGGCGAACAACGAAAAGTTGCGGGCGAGCGCACAAGGAATCGTGGTGCTTAAGGCACATGGCAGCAACACGCACATCACCTTCAACGACGTGCTCATCGTACAAGACCTGCGTTTTAAAGCTGCGGTCTACATTCTAAAAGGGATTTTCTGGGGGCAATCTTAGTGTACACCCTTTGGCGCAAAATGATTTGAGAGCGAAGTCCCCTTCCTCCCCAAACACCAGTGCGAGGAATGCAAACACCGATGGCGATGGCAAACAATATCGTGAGCATGTTTCTTGGGGGAACCAATCCGCGGAAACGCGGAAATTCCTGCGCTCAACACAAGCAACCAAGCGGAAAAGGAAACGTATGCCCTGGTAAGCACAACAGCCCAACAACCTAGCGGGATTACCAACGTAAAGCCGACCCATCTCACAACTGAGGGTAGGAACGCGACTTCAACTACAACGGGCAATTACTAGCATCAGTAGTAAAAATCGAACGGTTTAGAGGCGTGCATCTACGTCAGATCAGAGCCATCACGCGGGCCTTTGCATAGTATACGCCTTCCCACGGGAACTCCATTCGCAGGTTAGGAGCCACAAACGAGGCAGCCTCGCCGCATCATCGCCTGCTTGTCGCGTCGCCCTCGCCACATCGTCCTTGCCAGGTGCGAAGCGAGGCATCCGCTCAAACGCGGCCGCGACAGTCTACTCGCCACGAGTGCGGGGCTCGCCTCGTCGCCATCGTTGCATCATCCTCAATTTTGTGAGAAATAGAAACAGAAACAGAAACGCGCGACCATTAGACGAGGAATGAATTTAACACGGCGACGAACGGTGACTTGAATGGCGCGCTACGATCGGCCTGAAAACGACGAGCTCACCGCCTTGTTGCAAGCGAAATCGACTAGGAGAAAGCGACGAGGTAAAAGCATAGAGGCAAAAGCGACGAGGAGTTGTTGATGAGGCGAAAGCGACGAGGCGAAAGCGACGAGGAGAAAGCGACGAGGAGAAAGCGACAAGGAGAAAGCGACGAGGCAAAAGCGAAGAGACAAAAGCGACTTGGCGAAAGCGCCAACCCTAAGCGAGGCAGAACGCGGCGACGCTGAAAGCGGGGAGGACGACGGGTATTCAGCTCGGCGACATGGCAAGCAGAATGCGGCGACGAGCGCAGAGCAGAAGGCGACGGATTGTGTTGGGGAAATGCGGCGGAGAGCGCGGAGCAGAAAGGGGGGATTGGAGAGCGCGGAACAACAAGTGGTTGGCGGCCGGTGCGGACGGAGTCGCTAGAACGCAGTCGCAGTTCTGGGCGTCGCTGGTATTTATTGGCGACTAATATCTATAAATTCTAGTTACTACTTGTTGGAAGCCGGTTGTCGAGTGAAGTCTGTCTGGCTCTCATGATCGCCAAAGTTTTGGTATACAAACTGAAACGGGGTGGGTCAAGTTCTAACCTGAACCCCCAGCCCCCCCCCCTCCTTCCACCTCGATTGTTCATTTCTCCGCAGGGGGTCCTTGCAGGGACAAAGTTACCCTGTTCTCAAGTGATAATCCTTCACTTACCGCTCCAAGTATGTAGACCGCAGCTTTAACCTCCTGTCCGCGTCACAACTCGCTGACTGTGGAGTTGAACTTCTCGGCGAGAAAGGAATCCTCCACCACATCTTGCTCCCGTACGCGCACCCACAACAAGGCGTGGCAGAGCGCACCAACCGCACACTCATGCGCGAACTGCTAAAGCAATCCGGACTCCCCGCCGAGTACTGGACATACGCAATGCACCATGCGGTGCGGCTGCATAACCTTCTCTCCACCACGGCAAACACGGGGAACCTCTCACCTCACGTGAAGTGGACCGGGAAGAAAGGGGACACCTCCATGATGCGAGTATAGGGGTGTATGGTCCAGTACAGACCCACGTCTGCCACCATCGGGAAGTTCGCTGACCGTGCACGCTCGGGAGTCCACCTCGGAATCAGCTACGAGTATAAGGGGTGGCTCATCCTAGATCTACAGACCAACAAGATTGCACACGCGTGCGACGTTTTGTTCTACGAACGGCTCACCCTCGCCCAATTTCGCACCGACGAACAGGCAGGAGCAGACCGAGCCTACGCTCATGGAGATAGGAGCTTCGCCTCCTCTAAAGACCAAGCCGTGGCAGCAATCCTTGACCGCGATGTCATCGACGAGCATCCTGGCGTGAACCCTCGCCCGCGCGACGACGACGACGGAACTACACTTGGACCGCCACGATGCTAAGATCCTGTCAGCAACTCCCGGCCTGCACCTGAAAGCGACGACGACGATGTGCAGGAGGTAACTACTGAAGAACGACACAACACCACAGTCATGGGACTACAGCTGCTCGGCCTCCACACCGCGATGACGACTACTCCCCGAGTCATCGAGCCTAAAAATCCGAGGCAGGCTCTAACCGGACCTCACAACTAGGAATGGCGCGCAACGATGGATGCGGATATAAAGGCACTAGAGTCGCGGGACACCTGGGTCCTAGTCGACCGCGCTGCAATGAAGGGAAGGAGGATCCTATCAGGAAAATGGGTCTTCCGCGTGAAGACTGCTGCTGACGGCACAATCGATCGCTTCAAGGCAAGGTGGGTCGTATGCGGCTACAATCAACGTCACGGAGTCGACTTCGGCCAAGATTTTGCGCCCGTTAGCCGCCACATCTCCGTACGCATCCTACTTGCCATCGCCGCCGCTAAACATCTGCCACTCCGACAGATCCACATGAAGAACGCGTTCCTAAACGCACTAGCCGACGCGGTACTTTCTGTGGAGCAGCCGCATACCTACGAGGAAGGAGATTCGAGGGTCTGCTGAAGAAGTCGCTTTACGGGATTAAAGCTGCAGTATACATTTGTCAGCCGGGTTTAGGGTTTATATTGTGTGCCTCACAGCTTTGAGGCAACTTTTCAAATCTCAAAAGTTTTTGAACCCAACCTTTCAAATATATACTGCAGCTTTAAAGCAGAAGTATACATTTGGCAGTACTGTTGGAGTGACTACAGTGCCCAAAACTATTTCGCCCCAACGAAAGTGAAACAGCTTGGCGAGAGTATTGGCGAAAATTCCGAGCCCCTCCGCCGCTTCGGGGGAATTGTGTACTCACAAAAGAGAGGCACTACTTGAGAGCAAACACCAAGTATTGGTGCCAGGGTACTAATCAGTATAATAGGTTCCATTAGTCTACCCCACTTCAGAGAACTGCTGGGCCGGCAGACCAGACACCACGACCACTAAACCATTCTCTCGTGAGTCCGCACAAACTAAAAATAACACTACAATAAACGACCGCATTCTACGCCTCCGCATGTGTACGTCTGCCCGCTCCCCGCGTACTCACTCCCCCCGCGCTCGCTCGCTCCCCCCGCGCGCACTCGCTCCCTCCGCGCGCACTCGCTCCCCCAGCGCGCATTCGCTCCCCCCGCGCTCACTCGCTCCCCCCGCGCGCAACCATCCACCCTTGTCACACTACCTCCTCTCCCATTTCCCCCCTCCCTCTCCTCACTCCCGCACTCCCTCCCACCCTCCCTCACCCCTCCCTCGCCCCTGCTTGCCCCATGGCTCTCCCCATCCCTTGGAGCGCAACTCACAGGGGCGGAGGTGGAACATAATCTTCTTCGTCTTCGAGCTGTACCAGATCAAGGTGCGCTCCCCCCCTGCCCTGCTGCCTCCGCTGCCTCTGCTCCCTCTGCCCACTCTGCTGCCTCTGCTCCCTCTGCCCACTCTGCTGCCTCTGCTCCCTCTGCCCACTCTGCTGCCTCTGCTCCCTCTGCCCACTCTGCTGCCTCTGCTCCCTCTGCCCACTCTGCTGCCTCTGCTCCCTCTGCCCACTCTGCTGCCTCTGCTCCCTCTGCCCACTCTGCTGCCTCTGCTCCCTCTGCCCACTCTGCTGCCTCTGCTCCCTCTGCCCACTCTGCTGCCTCTGCTCCCTCTGCCCACTCTGCTGCCTCTGCTCCCTCTGCCCACTCTGCTGCCTCTGCTCCCTCTGCCCACTCTGCTGCCTCTGCTCCCTCTGCCCACTCTGCTGCCTCTGCTCCCTCTGCCCACTCTGCTGCCTCTGCTCCCTCTGCCCACTCTGCTGCCTCTGCTCCCTCTGCCCACTCTGCTGCCTCTGCTCCCTCTGCCCACTCTGCTGCCTCTGCTCCCTCTGCCCACTCTGCTGCCTCTGCTCCCTCTGCCCACTCTGCTGCCTCTGCTCCCTCTGCCCACTCTGCTGCCTCTGCTCCCTCTGCCCACTCTGCTGCCTCTGCTCCCTCTGCCCACTCTGCTGCCTCTGCTCCCTCTGCCCACTCTGCTGCCTCTGCTCCCTCTGCCCACTCTGCTCCCTCTGCTCCCTCTGCCCACTCTGCTGCCTCTGCTCCCTCTGCCCACTCTGCTGCCTCTGCTCCCTCTGCCCACTCTGCTGCCTCTGCTCCCTCTGCCCACTCTGCTGCCTCTGCTCCCTCTGCCCACTCTGCTCCCTCTGCTCCCTCTGCCCACTCTGCTGCCTCTGCTCCCTCTGCCCACTCTGCTGCCTCTGCTCCCTCTGCCCACTCTGCTGCCTCTGCTCCCTCTGCCCACTCTGCTGCCTCTGCTCCCTCTGCCCACTCTGCTGCCTCTGCTCCCTCTGCCCACTCTGCTGCCTCTGCTCCCTCTGCCCACTCTGCTGCCTCTGCTCCCTCTGCCCACTCTGCTCCCTCTGCTCCCTCTGCCCACTCTGCTGCCTCTGCTCCCTCTGCCCACTCTGCTGCCTCTGCTCCCTCTGCCCACTCTGCTGCCTCTGCTCCCTCTGCCCACTCTGCTGCCTCTGCTCCCTCTGCCCACTCTGCTGCCTCTGCTCCCTCTGCCCACTCTGCTCCCTCTGCTCCCTCTGCCCACTCTGCTGCCTCTGCTCCCTCTGCCCACTCTGCTGCCTCTGCTCCCTCTGCCCACTCTGCTGCCTCTGCTCCCTCTGCCCACTCTGCTGCCTCTGCTCCCTCTGCCCACTCTGCTGCCTCTGCTCCCTCTGCCCACTCTGCTGCCTCTGCTCCCTCTGCCCACTCTGCTGCCTCTGCTCCCTCTGCCCACTCTGCTGCCTCTGCTCCCTCTGCCCACTCTGCTGCCTCTGCTCCCTCTGCCCACTCTGCTGCCTCTGCTCCCTCTGCCCACTCTGCTGCCTCTGCTCCCTCTGCCCACTCTGCTGCCTCTGCTCCCTCTGCCCACTCTGCTGCCTCTGCTCCCTCTGCCCACTCTGCTGCCTCTGCTCCCTCTGCCCACTCTGCTGCCTCTGCTCCCTCTGCCCACTCTGCTGCCTCTGCTCCCTCTGCCCACTCTGCTGCCTCTGCTCCCTCTGCCCACTCTGCTGCCTCTGCTCCCTCTGCCCACTCTGCTGCCTCTGCTCCCTCTGCCCACTCTGCTCCCTCTGCTCCCTCTGCCCACTCTGCTGCCTCTGCTCCCTCTGCCCACTCTGCTGCCTCTGCTCCCTCTGCCCACTCTGCTGCCTCTGCTCCCTCTGCCCACTCTGCTGCCTCTGCTCCCTCTGCCCACTCTGCTGCCTCTGCTCCCTCTGCCCACTCTGCTGCCTCTGCTCCCTCTGCCCACTCTGCTGCCTCTGCTCCCTCTGCCCACTCTGCTGCCTCTGCTCCCTCTGCCCACTCTGCTGCCTCTGCTCCCTCTGCCCACTCTGCTGCCTCTGCTCCCTCTGCCCACTCTGCTGCCTCTGCTCCCTCTGCCCACTCTGCTGCCTCTGCTCCCTCTGCCCACTCTGCTGCCTCTGCTCCCTCTGCCCACTCTGCTGCCTCTGCTCCCTCTGCCCACTCTGCTGCCTCTGCTCCCTCTGCCCACTCTGCTGCCTCTGCTCCCTCTGCCCACTCTGCTGCCCTCTGCTCCCTCTGCCCACTCTGCTGCCTCTGCTCCCTCTGCCCACTCTGCTCCCTCTGCTCCCTCTGCCCACTCTGCTGCCTCTGCTCCCTCTGCCCACTCTGCTGCCTCTGCTCCCTCTGCCCACTCTGCTGCCTCTGCTCCCTCTGCCCACTCTGCTGCCTCTGCTCCCTCTGCCCACTCTGCTGCCTCTGCTCCCTCTGCCCACTCTGCTCCCTCTGCTCCCTCTGCCCACTCTGCTGCCTCTGCTCCCTCTGCCCACTCTGCTGCCTCTGCTCCCTCTGCCCACTCTGCTGCCTCTGCTCCCTCTGCCCACTCTGCTGCCTCTGCTCCCTCTGCCCACTCTGCTCCCTCTGCTCCCTCTGCCCACTCTGCTGCCTCTGCTCCCTCTGCCCACTCTGCTGCCTCTGCTGCCTCTGCCCACTCTGCTGCCTCTGCTCCCTCTGCCCACTCTGCTCCCTCTGCTCCCTCTGCCCACTCTGCTGCCTCTGCTCCCTCTGCCCACTCTGCTGCCTCTGCTCCCTCTGCCCACTCTGCTGCCTCTGCTCCCTCTGCCCACTCTGCTGCCTCTGCTCCCTCTGCCCACTCTGCTGCCTCTGCTCCCTCTGCCCACTCTGCTGCCTCTGCTCCCTCTGCCCACTCTGCTGCCTCTGCTCCCTCTGCCCACTCTGCTGCCTCTGCTCCCTCTGCCCACTCTGCTGCCTCTGCTCCCTCTGCCCACTCTGCTGCCTCTGCTCCCTCTGCCCACTCTGCTGCCTCTGCTCCCTCTGCCCACTCTGCTGCCTCTGCTCCCTCTGCCCACTCTGCTGCCTCTGCTCCCTCTGCCCACTCTGCTGCCTCTGCTCCCTCTGCCCACTCTGCTGCCTCTGCTCCCTCTGCCCACTCTGCTGCCTCTGCTCCCTCTGCCCACTCTGCTGCCTCTGCTCCCTCTGCCCACTCTGCTGCCTCTGCTCCCTCTGCCCACTCTGCTGCCTCTGCTCCCTCTGCCCACTCTGCTGCCTCTGCTCCCTCTGCCCACTCTGCTGCCTCTGCTCCCTCTGCCCACTATGCTCCCTCTGCTCCCTCTGCCCACTCTGCTGCCTCTGCTCCCTCTGCCCACTCTGCTCCCTCTGCTCCCTCTGCCCACTCTGCTGCCTCTGCTCCCTCTGCCCACTCTGCTCCCTCTGCTCCCTCTGCCCACTCTGCTGCCTCTGCTCCCTCTGCCCACTCTGCTGCCTCTGCTCCCTCTGCCCACTCTGCTGCCTCTGCTCCCTCTGCCCACTCTGCTGCCTCTGCTCCCTCTGCCCACTCTGCTGCCTCTGCTCCCTCTGCCCACTCTGCTGCCTCTGCTCCCTCTGCCCACTCTGCTGCCTCTGCTCCCTCTGCCCACTCTGCTGCCTCTGCTCCCTCTGCCCACTCTGCTGCCTCTGCTCCCTCTGCCCACTCTGCTGCCTCTGCTCCCTCTGCCCACTCTGCTGCCTCTGCTCCCTCTGCCCACTCTGCTGCCTCTGCTCCCTCTGCCCACTCTGCTGCCTCTGCTCCCTCTGCCCACTCTGCTGCCTCTGCTCCCTCTGCCCACTCTGCTGCCTCTGCTCCCTCTGCCCACTCTGCTGCCTCTGCTCCCTCTGCCCACTCTGCTGCCTCTGCTCCCTCTGCCCACTCTGCTGCCTCTGCTCCCTCTGCCCACTCTGCTGCCTCTGCTCCCTCTGCCCACTCTGCTGCCTCTGCTCCCTCTGCCCACTCTGCTGCCTCTGCTCCCTCTGCCCACTCTGCTGCCTCTGCTCCCTCTGCCCACTCTGCTGCCTCTGCTCCCTCTGCCCACTCTGCTGCCTCTGCTCCCTCTGCCCACTCTGCTGCCTCTGCTCCCTCTGCCCACTCTGCTGCCTCTGCTCCCTCTGCCCACTCTGCTGCCTCTGCTCCCTCTGCCCACTCTGCTGCCTCTGCTCCCTCTGCCCACTCTGCTGCCTCTGCTCCCTCTGCCCACTCTGCTGCCTCTGCTCCCTCTGCCCACTCTGCTGCCTCTGCTCCCTCTGCCCACTCTGCTGCCTCTGCTCCCTCTGCCCACTCTGCTGCCTCTGCTCCCTCTGCCCACTCTGCTGCCTCTGCTCCCTCTGCCCACTCTGCTGCCTCTGCTCCCTCTGCCCACTCTGCTGCCTCTGCTCCCTCTGCCCACTCTGCTGCCTCTGCTCCCTCTGCCCACTCTGCTGCCTCTGCTCCCTCTGCCCACTCTGCTGCCTCTGCTCCCTCTGCCCACTCTGCTGCCTCTGCTCCCTCTGCCCACTCTGCTGCCTCTGCTCCCTCTGCCCACTCTGCTGCCTCTGCTCCCTCTGCCCACTCTGCTGCCTCTGCTCCCTCTGCCCACTCTGCTGCCTCTGCTCCCTCTGCCCACTCTGCTGCCTCTGCTCCCTCTGCCCACTCTGCTGCCTCTGCTCCCTCTGCCCACTCTGCTGCCTCTGCTCCCTCTGCCCACTCTGCTGCCTCTGCTCCCTCTGCCCACTCTGCTGCCTCTGCTCCCTCTGCCCACTCTGCTGCCTCTGCTCCCTCTGCCCACTCTGCTGCCTCTGCTCCCTCTGCCCACTCTGCTGCCTCTGCTCCCTCTGCCCACTCTGCTGCCTCTGCTCCCTCTGCCCACTCTGCTGCCTCTGCTCCCTCTGCCCACTCTGCTGCCTCTGCTCCCTCTGCCCACTCTGCTGCCTCTGCTCCCTCTGCCCACTCTGCTGCCTCTGCTCCCTCTGCCCACTCTGCTGCCTCTGCTCCCTCTGCCCACTCTGCTGCCTCTGCTCCCTCTGCCCACTCTGCTGCCTCTGCTCCCTCTGCCCACTCTGCTGCCTCTGCTCCCTCTGCCCACTCTGCTGCCTCTGCTCCCTCTGCCCACTCTGCTGCCTCTGCTCCCTCTGCCCACTCTGCTGCCTCTGCTCCCTCTGCCCACTCTGCTGCCTCTGCTCCCTCTGCCCACTCTGCTGCCTCTGCTCCCTCTGCCCACTCTGCTGCCTCTGCTCCCTCTGCCCACTCTGCTGCCTCTGCTCCCTCTGCCCACTCTGCTGCCTCTGCTCCCTCTGCCCACTCTGCTGCCTCTGCTCCCTCTGCCCACTCTGCTGCCTCTGCTCCCTCTGCCCACTCTGCTGCCTCTGCTCCCTCTGCCCACTCTGCTGCCTCTGCTCCCTCTGCCCACTCTGCTGCCTCTGCTCCCTCTGCCCACTCTGCTGCCTCTGCTCCCTCTGCCCACTCTGCTGCCTCTGCTCCCTCTGCCCACTCTGCTGCCTCTGCTCCCTCTGCCCACTCTGCTGCCTCTGCTCCCTCTGCCCACTCTGCTGCCTCTGCTCCCTCTGCCCACTCTGCTGCCTCTGCTCCCTCTGCCCACTCTGCTGCCTCTGCTCCCTCTGCCCACTCTGCTGCCTCTGCTCCCTCTGCCCACTCTGCTGCCTCTGCTCCCTCTGCCCACTCTGCTGCCTCTGCTCCCTCTGCCCACTCTGCTGCCTCTGCTCCCTCTGCCCACTCTGCTGCCTCTGCTCCCTCTGCCCACTCTGCTGCCTCTGCTCCCTCTGCCCACTCTGCTGCCTCTGCTCCCTCTGCCCACTCTGCTGCCTCTGCTCCCTCTGCCCACTCTGCTGCCTCTGCTCCCTCTGCCCACTCTGCTGCCTCTGCTCCCTCTGCCCACTCTGCTGCCTCTGCTCCCTCTGCCCACTCTGCTGCCTCTGCTCCCTCTGCCCACTCTGCTGCCTCTGCTCCCTCTGCCCACTCTGCTGCCTCTGCTCCCTCTGCCCACTCTGCTGCCTCTGCTCCCTCTGCCCACTCTGCTGCCTCTGCTCCCTCTGCCCACTCTGCTGCCTCTGCTCCCTCTGCCCACTCTGCTGCCTCTGCTCCCTCTGCCCACTCTGCTGCCTCTGCTCCCTCTGCCCACTCTGCTGCCTCTGCTCCCTCTGCCCACTCTGCTGCCTCTGCTCCCTCTGCCCACTCTGCTGCCTCTGCTCCCTCTGCCCACTCTGCTGCCTCTGCTCCCTCTGCCCACTCTGCTGCCTCTGCTCCCTCTGCCCACTCTGCTGCCTCTGCTCCCTCTGCCCACTCTGCTGCCTCTGCTCCCTCTGCCCACTCTGCTGCCTCTGCTCCCTCTGCCCACTCTGCTGCCTCTGCTCCCTCTGCCCACTCTGCTGCCTCTGCTCCCTCTGCCCACTCTGCTCCCTCCTTTCCCTCCATGCATCCCCTCCTTACCCCCCCTGCATTCCTTCCTTTCCGCCCCTGCATCCCCTCATTTCCGCCCCTGCATCCCCTCATTTCCGCCCCTGCATCCCCTCATTTCCGCCCCTGCATCCCCTCATTTCCGCCCCTGCATCCCCTCCTTTCCCTCCCTGCATCCCCTCCTGTTCCCCTCCCACAGCATCCCCTCCTCGTCAATTCTCTTCTTCTAGCCCCCTGTTCCCTACCTCGACCAATCTCCTTCCTTGCCCCCTTCCTCTCTTCCGCACTTCCCCTCTTCCTCTCTGTCCCGCCTTTCGTCCCTTGCTTCCCATCATTTTTCCTGTTTGCTTCCCCTATTTTTCCACCCTCCTTTTCCTAATTCCCCCCCTGCTCTTCATTAGGGTCCACCCTTGCTTACCATTTCCTTTCACCCGTGCTAGCCTTCCTCCCCCATGCTCACTCTTCCTTCCCCTCCAGCTTACACTCTGTTTCTCCCCTCCTTTCTGGTTTGTTTTCCCCCTGCTACCCTATCGTTTTCCCCCTGCTACCCTATCGTATGCACTGCCATTGGTGCAGGCACTGGCAGGGCGTGTGGTGCGGGCGGTGGTAGTGCTGCCCACCAGAGACCTGGATGCTCAGGTCTCTGGTAATACGGTCATTTCCCCCTCCCCAGTAGACGCTGGCGTATGTGCTGCCAGTGATGCAGGCCCTGGTGCGGCACATGGTGCGATGAGTCAGAGAGGTCGTTGTGTTGCCCACTCGATACCTGACTGTTCAGGTGGGTGTTATGGCGCTACTGTGCTGCTGTGCACTCATATGCACACACAAACTGCTGCCGTGCACTCACACTCCCTTGCTCGCAGACAGAGCCGAGTTTCAACCGTCAACCCTCCTCTCCCACCATTCCCCCCACAACTTAACTTGTCTTTCTGCCCAACATGCAATCCTGCTCTCCCCTTCTTCCTCTCTCCCCTTCCTTGCCCCCCACCGTGCCATTCTGCCTTGTACTGCAGGTGAAGCACGTGTTTGACACCATAGCGCTGGCTGTCGGCCTTGCAATGGAACTCATCAACGGCCAATCAAAGCTCGCTGACGAGGCAACTCACCTCGTACCGCACCCTGCCGCCCGTTCTGGCCCCTAGGGCCTCCTCAGTCACTGGAGATACAGACAGGGAAACGGCTACAGCAGTGGCCCAATGCACCTCGCTCACCCTCGCTGCTGCCGCCCCTTCTGCCACCACTGCACCACGTCAGCAGTCGCCAGCATGCATGCTGACATGGCAGTGAGCATGCCGGCTATTTGCTCTCCCTGCCTTCGCATCTCCCCTCCCGTGTCGTGGCCTGGTGGCCAGCACCACTGCGCTGTTGCGAGTGCGTGTGAAGCAGTGCGTTACACCGCGACGAGTTCGTGGCCTGGTCGGGGTAGCTACCTGCGTTATTACACGACACCAGTCCGCCCAATTCATCCCCTTCTTTCCTGCTTTTCCCTTCCCTGACCTTCCTTCCCTGTCCGGACCCCTGCCCTTCCCTTCCCTACCCCACCCTTCCCTTTCCCGTCCCTTCTCCCTTCCCTTCCCTTGCATGCCCTCCCCCCTCCCCTCACCTACTCGTCACCGTCTACCCTTCAGTTCTTGTGCATGTAGTGCCATCACGTGCTTGACTTCCTTTGTTGCTTCGCTTCTGTCTCACAGCACCTTCCCAGGAGCATTACACAATCGTTTTTGCCTACTCTGCTATTTGTTTGTGTTGATACAGAGGGCAGCAGGTACAAGCAGAGGCGTAGCTAGTGGATGGTTTGTCGCCACTTATGTTTTGTCTCGTGTGCGTTGTAATGCATGGTAGTGAGTTATTCCTAGAAATATGCGTCATGATGAAGCCCAATATGTACTACCATGATTCAGCAGTGCAATGTATCTTTCCAAGATGCATGAACAGGTGTCACATCACATCCCTTACAGTTAGAAAGAAACATGTTCTCACATAACTTTAGACTGTAGGCAAAGGCCAAGAGAACGAAGCAAGGTACCGTACTATTGACCCTCTCTGCAACAAATATTAGCTGCTTTGACATGAGATGATTGCGTGCGGCGTGTTGAAGCTTGAAATCTTCAGAGCAGTCAGTCACTGAAATAGTCAGGGAAGGGGAAAGAATCCGAGGGCGGGGAATAAGAAAAGGGTAATAGCTCAACCACAGGCTGTGATGAGGGGAATCAGGGAGAAAATAAGGGGAATTAGGGAGAGAATGAGAGGAACCATGGAGAAAATGAGGGGAATCAGGGGGAGGGGGGGGGGGGGGGGGATGAGGGGAATCGGGGGGGGGGGGGGGGGGGGGGGGGAGGAAATGAGGGGAATCAGGTCGGGGGAGAGGAGGGGACTCAGGGGGAGAAGTGAGGAGAAGGAGGCTTTGGAAGGCATGCGAGGAAAAGCACTTTGAGATCGCTTTCAGCTTTGGAGGGGTGGCAGGAAAGGTAACAAGAGGGAATAGTATAGCAGGGGGGCGAGAGGGCACAGTGAGGGGGAGAGGCGCAGAGAGGGTAGGGCAGGAAGAGAGGCGCAGAGAGGGGAGTACAGGAAGAGAGGGGTATGCAGGGAGGGGAGAGGGGATGACAGGCAGGATGACAAGGGTAAGACTGGGAGGAGAGATTGTGAGGCAGGCAGCGGACAATGGGAATGCACGAAGCGGAAGAGAAGAAAGGAGGGAGAAAAGGGAGGGAAGGGAGAGAAGGGAGGGAAGGGAGAGAACTGAGGGAAGGGAGAGAAGTGAGGGAAGGGAGAGAAGTGAGGGAAGGGAGAAAAGGGAGGGAAGGGAGGAAAGGGAGATAAGGTAGGGAAGGGAGAAAAGGGAATGAAGGAAGAAAAAGGAGGGAAGGGAGGGAAGGGAGAGAAGTGAGGGAAGGGAAGGAAGGTAGAGAAGGGAGGAAAGGGAGAGAAGGGAGGGAAGGGAGACAAGGGAGAAAAGCGAGAGAAGGGAGACAAGGGAGAGAAGGTAGGGAAGGGAGAGAAGGGAGGGAAGGGAAAAAGGGAGGGAAGGTAGGGAAGGGAGAAAAGAGAGGGAAGGGAGAAAAGGGAATGAAGGAAGAAAAAGGAGGGAAGGGAGGGAAGGGAGGGAAGGGAGGGAAGGGAAGGAAGGGAGAGTAGGGATGGAGGGGAAGGAAGGGAGAGAAGGGAGGAAAGGGAGAGAAGGGAGGGAAGGGAGACAAGGGAGAAAAGCGAGAGAAGGGAGGCAAGGGAGAGAAGGTAGGGAAGGGAGAGAAGGGAGGGAAGGGGAAAAGGGAGGGAAGGGAGGGAAGGGAGAAAAGAGAGGGATGGGAGAAAAGGGAATGAAGGAAGAAAAAGGAGGGAAGGGAGGGAAGGGAGGGAAGGGAAGGAAGGGAGAGAAGGGAGGAAAGGGAGAGAAGGGAGGGAAGGGAGACAAGGGAGAAAAGCGAGAGAAGGGAGGCAAGGGAGAGAAGGTAGGGAAGGGAGAGAAGGGAGGGAAGGGAAAAAGGGAGGGAAGGGAGGGAAGGGAGAAAAGGGAATGAAGGAAGAAAAAGGAGAGAAGGGAGGGAAGGGAGGGAAGGGAGGGAAGGGAGAGAAGGGAGGGAAGGGAGAGAAGGGAGGGAAGGGAGAGAAGGGAGGGAAGGGAGAGAAGGGAGGGAAGGGAGAGAAAGGATGGAAGGGAGAAAAGGGAGGGAAGGGAGGGGAGATTAGGGAGGGCAGGGAAAGAAGGGAGGGACGTGAGAGAAGGGAGGGACGGGAGAGAAGGGAGGGAAGGGAGAGAAGGGCGGGAAGGGAGGGAAGGGAGGGACGGGAGGGACGGGAGATAAGGGAGGGAAGGGAGGCAGGAAGATTTGAATGAGAGGCGGGAAGGGAAGAATGGGCGGCGGGAAGGGGAGAATGGCGGGAGGAACGGGGTCTTTGGGCGGCGAAAAAGGGGAATTGGGCGGCGGGAAGGTCAAAGGGGCGGCGGAAAGGGGAATCTGGCTGCGGGAAAGGGGAATCGGGCGGCGAGAACGGGGGATCAAGCGCCGGGAAAGGGGAATCGGGCGGCGGGAACGGGAATGGGGCGGCGGGAAGGTCAAAGGGGCGGCGGGAAGGGAGATCGGGGGCCGGTAAAGGTAGATCGGGCAGCGAAAAGGGTATATTGGGAGGAGCACGAGGGCCGCAGCGTGTGGCGCGGCCAGCGTGATCGCGGTGGCGTGAGGAGGCATCGTGTTGCGACGAGGAGCCGCCGCGAGCGGATTTGCGGCGAGGCGACGCCGCGAGCGGATTTGCGGCGAGGCGACGCCGCGTGAGTATTTGCGACGAGGCGAAGCCGCTGCGTATTTGCGGCGAGGCGACGCCGCGTGCGTATTTGCGGCGAGGCGACGCCGGGAGCGGATTTGCCGAGAGGTGACGCCGCGACGGGCGTTGAGGCGAGTCTACGAGGCGACGCAAAATCTAAGCCATGGTATGGACGGCGTATGACCTAAGCGAAAGATCAAGCTTGATCGTAATGGCAAATATTGCCCCCGGTAGCTAGTTTCCATAGTAGTTCACGGCGGGAATGCTTGGGGCTAGTGCGGGGAGGCAACTCCTTCAGTATACTTTTGGCATGTATAAACTTTCGATGATTGAGTGGCCTCGGCTGGTGAGGGGAGTTGGGAACACTTCGGAACCGTTGCTCGTGACAGAAGTTGAGTGGGCCTGTAACTCGGCTACCACCAAGTACCTTTTATAAACTTTTGGCACTGGCCCTATCAAATGTATAGAAGATCCTACAAAACATCGACTTCAAGCAATTGCCACACGACCCCGAAATGTATCGTCTCCACTTCTGTGGAGACCACATCCTACTCACTGTGTACGTCGAAAATCTACTCTACACAGGTGTCAAAATGCATTTATATGCTTGTAGGTTGTAGTGGGGTAGCCCATAAAGGGTACAACCCTTTTAGGGATGCATACTAGTATCTCACTGCTGCTAATCACACATCATTCTGCTGTACTCTCATTCTGACATGGTATCAGAGCGCTAGGTTAGGTCCGACTGCCGAACCTACTACCGAACCTACGATTAGGTTAGGTTTGCCCCGCTGCCCCACGCCTCGAGCGTCACTGCCCCACTGCTCCGCGAGTCGTGCGCTACTGCCCTGCTGCCCCGCGCGTCGCGCGTCGCGCGCGCCGTGCTGCCCTGCGCGCCCCGCGCGCCCTGCTGCCCACGCACCCTGCTGCCCTGCGCGCCCCGCGCGCCCTGCTGACCCGCGCGCCCCGCGCGCCCTGCTGCCCCGCGCCCAGTGCGCCTTGCTGCCCTGCGCGCCCTGCGCGCCCCGCGAGCCCTGCTCGCCCCGAGCGCCCTGCTGCCCAGCGCCCCGCGCGCCCTGCTGCCCTACGCGCCCCGCGCCCCTGCCCGCCCCGCGCGTCTGCCTTAGTCACTGATCTCGTTGACCTTGCTGCTACCTGTCGTCTTGACTACTTCGCGAGGCTTGTTACTGACTCTGAGTCTGACTGTCCTCCGTCCGTCGAGGGTGAGCTTGCCCTTGGCAGTGACGTCTTTGAGGACAGACAGTTTGAGCTCGAGTGCCTCGCGACTGCTATACCCCATCTCGATTCCATGCTGCTTTGCCCTGAGGGAGACCCGGATGCACTAGACATCCCGACCCCGCGCTCTTACGCAGAGGCGATCTCGAGTCAGTACTCCTCTCAGTGGCAGACAGCCATGGATGCAGGAATGGCTTCCTGGAAGTCCAGAGGCACCTACGTCGACGCAGTTCCCCCTCATGGGGCGAACATAGTCGATGGCATGTGGATTTTCAGGGTGAAGCGGCCGCCGGGTTCACCGCCTGCCTTCAAGGCGCGTTACGTTGCACGAGGCTTCAGTCAGCGACAGGGGGTCGACTACTTCCAGACCTTCTCCCCCACCCCGAAGATGACCACTCTTTGGGTGTTACTGCACGTTGCAGCACAGCGTGACTACGAGCTCCACTAGCTTGACTTCAGCACAACTTTCTTGCAAGGCAGCCTTCACGAGGAGATCTGGCTGCGCCGCCCACCTGGCTTCACTGGGTCGTTTCATGAGGGTACCCAGTGGAGTCTCCGGCGGCCAGTCTACGGTCTCCGCCAGGCGCCGCGCGAGTGGCACGAAACACTGAGGACTACCCTTGCGGCACTTGGGTTTGCTCCTTCGACAGCGGTTTGCTCCTTCGACTGCTGACCCGTCACTGTTTCTGCGCACCGACCCTTCTCTGCCGCCGTTCTACATCCTCGTGTACGTGGACGACTTGGTCTTTGCTACTGCTGACACTGAGGCACTGGCCCTTGTGAAGGCGGAGCTGTAGAAGAGACACACCTGCAGTGACCTGGGTGAGCTGCGGAGCTATATTGGCTTGCTGATCACCCAGGACAGAGCACGGCGCACCATCACTCTGACTCAGTCACACATGGTGCACCAGGTCCTTCAGCGCTTCGGCTTTCAGTTCTCCTCGCCACAGGCCACTCGCTCTCAGCTCCACCTTCGGACGAGTCCGTAGAGCTGAGTGGTTAGTATCCAAAGCTTGTGGGCTGCCTCATGTATCTGATGACTTGCACTCGACCTGACCTCGCGTACCCTCTCAGCATCCTGGCGCGCTACGTTACGCACGGGAGACACCGACCAGAGCACTGGCGGGCTGCTAGGAGGGTGCTGCGTTACTTGTGCAGTACATCGGGCATGGGGCTTGTGCTTGGAGGACGGGGTCGAGTTGTACTCACTGGACACTCATACGCTTCTTTGGCCAACGACCAGGAGACTCAGCGGTCGTCACAGGGTTACACTTTCAGTCTCGGCGCTGGTTCTGTCTCCTGGAGGTCCATGAGAAGATTTGAACAAGAATGAATGAACTATGAAAATGAAGTGAGTACAAATATGAAACCCTAATTGGTTGTACCCCCTATGGGATACCCCACTATAGCCTACACAACAGCATAAGCTATAATGTTCTGACACACCCCCATAGGCAAAGTGGGGGAGAACAAGGGGTCACAAGACCAGTCAAGCAAAGTAAAGCAAAGCAAGCTCAAGGTGGATCACAAAGTCACCACACAGTCCGAGCACAGGGTCAAGGCCACACGGCCAGTTCACATGCAAGAGTACACACATATATATAAAACTAGACAAGCAAGAGCAGGTATATATATATGTGAGAGTACAGGCAAGGTCAAGAGGAGAGCAAGTGAGGCAAGACGGGCACAAGACCCAGCTGAGTGCAGAAGCGCTGATGATCACAAGGCGGAAGTGCCTTGGTGAAGACATCAGCAGTGTTGGCCTCAGAGGCCACGTACGCAAGTCGCAACTGACCACGTTGCTGTAGCTCACGAGCAAGGAAGTAGCGGAGAGCAATGTGCTTTGTTCTGTGCTCCAGTCGCTGCTCTCGACACAAGGCCAGCATGGCCTTGTTGTCTACGTACAGGACTGGAGGAGAACGAGGCGGCTCTCCAAGGTCGGTCAGCAGGTAGGCGAGCCAGCGAAGCTCCTGTGCAGCCATGGCCCCGGCGTAGATCTCAGCCTCACAACTCGAGCCAAGAACAGAAGACGAGCGAGTAGCCCGCCACGAAACAGAGCCGGAACCAAGGCTGAAGGTGTAACCCTGTGACGACCGCTGCGTAGCCTGGTCGTCAGCCCAAGAAGCGTCCGCGTGCCCAGTGAGGACCACTGGACTCCGCCCTCCAAGCACTAGCCCCATGCCCGACGTACTGCACAAGTAGCGCAACACCCTCTTCGCTGCAGCCATGTGCTCTGGTCTGTGTCTCCCAGGAGCAACATAGCGTGCGAGAATGCTAAGAGGGTATGCAAGGTCAGGTCGTGTGCAGGTCATCAGGTACATGAGGCAGCCAACAAGCTCTGGGTACGGGCCACTCGACTCTACGGACTCATCCGAAGGCAGAGCTGAGAGCGAGTGGCGAGTAGACAGAGGAGTGGCCTGAGGCGAGGAGTACGTGAAGCCGAAGCGCTGAAGGACCTGCTGCACCATGTGTGACTGAGTCAGGGTAATGGTGCGGCGTGCTCTGTCCCGGGTGATCTGCAAGCCAAGGTAGCTGCGCAGTTCACCCAGGTCTGTGCACGTGTGTCTCTTCTGCAGCTCGGACTTCACGTAGGCGAGTCCAGCAGTGTCAGCTGTGGCAAAGACCAAGTCGTCGACGTACACGAGGATGTAGAACGGCGGCAGAGAGGTGTCGGTGCGTAGAAACAGCGACGGGTCGGCAGTAGAAGGAGCAAACCCAAGAGCCGCAAGTGTAGTCCTCAGTGTGTCGTGCCACTCACGTGGCGCCTGGCGGAGACCGTAGACTGGACGCCGGAGACTCCACTGGGTACCAGAAGGGAAAGACCCAGTGAAGCCAGGTGGGCGACGCAGCCAGATCTCCTCGTGCAGGCTGCCCTGCAAGAAAGCTGTGCTGAAGTCAAGAGAGTGCAGCTCGTAGTCACGGTGAGCAGCAACGTGCAGCAGTACCCGAAGAGTGGTCATCTTCGGGGTGGGGGAGAAGGTCTGAAAGTAGTCAACTCCCTGCCGCTGACTGAAGCCACGAGCCACGTAACGCGCCTTGAAGACAGGCGGAGAACCCGGCGGCCGCTTCACCCTGAAGATCCACATGCCACTGACGATGTTCGCCCCAGGAGGGGGGACAGCGTCAACGTAGGTGCCTGTGGACTTCCAGGAAGCCATCTCTGCATCCATAGCTGCCTGCCACTGAGAGGAGTAGGGACCCTCTATCGCCTCCGCGTAAGAGCGCGGAGTCGGGATGTCAAGTGCATCCGGGTCTCCCTCAGGGGTAAGCAGTACGGACACGAGATGAGGTGAGGCAGCTGCCAGACACTGGAACTCCTCCTGCCTGTCCTCAAGGACGTCCGTGCCAAGGGCACACTCACCCCCGACGGACGGAGGACAGACAGACTCAGACTCAGCGACAAGACTGGCAGCGTAGTCTAAGCGACAGCGAGCAGCAAAGTCGACGAGCTCAGTAACGAGAGCAGACGCAGCAGTAGACTCGAAAGAAGGGTCAGTGACAACAGTAGCAAGGAGACGCGTGACAGTAGGACTGGCAGCACGAAGAGAGTCCGACTCCGGGTCGGCAAGAGCAGGAAGAGAGGACTCAGGAGGAGAAGGCAAAGGGGCACGCAGAGGAGCAGTGGACGGACGCAGAGACATCCGGTGCGTGCCAGGGACAGGAGGAGGACGCTGACGCGAACCGCGACCAC